CAGCCCTAGCTAGAGGGGAACCACCCATGCCAACAGTCAGAACATGACTTTCAGCAAGCCTCGCCACTGCAGGTTGAAGTGCTCTAGGGAACTAAATAAACTTGAAGTCTAGGCCACAAGGATTGCAACTCCCAGGCAAGTCTGAGTGCTGTGCTAGGTGAGCTCAAAGCCAATGGACTTGGAGAGCATGCAACCTAGTAAGACGCTAGCCAGGGCAGTTAAGGAAGAGCTTGCACCACCCCTCTCACAAACCCAGGCACTGTAGCTTACCACTCTTAAAGATGATTTTGTCTTGCAAATTGGATACCAGCTCAGCCATATTACAATAGGGCACCAGGCAGAGTTGAGAGGCCCCCATTCCAGGCCTTAGCTCCCAGATGACATGTCTAGACACACCCTGGGCCAGAAGAGAAACTGCTGCCTTGAAGGAAAAAACCCAGTCCTGGCAGGATTCATGACCTGCTGATGGAAGGCTGGGCCCTAAATAATCAGCAGAGTAACCAGGTAGTACACTCCATGGGTCTTGGACGAGATTCACATGTGTTAGCATCATGTGTGATCCATCATATTCCCAGCTGTGATGGTCATAGGGAGAAACTCCTTCTGATTAAGAAAAGGAGATGGAAAAATAAAGGGGACTTTGTCTTGCAGCTTAGATACTAGCTTGGCCACCCTGGGGTAGAGCACCAAGCAGGCCTGTGGGGCCCCTGATGCCAGGCCTTGGCTCTTGTACAGCATTTCTGGACCTACCCTGGACCAGAGAGGAAGTTATTGCCCTGAAGGATGAGTCCCAGGCCTGGCAGCATTCACCACAAGCTAACTGAAGAGTCCTTGGGCCTTAAGTGAACATTGCTGGCACCCTGGCAGTACTCCCTGTGGATCTGTGGTGGTGGGGGCACAGGGAGAGATACCTCTGCTTATGGAAAGGGGAGGGAAGAGTGGGAAGGACTTTGTCTTGTGGTTTTGGTACCAGCTTAGCCACAGTAGAATAGAGCAGTAGGTTGAGTTCAAAGGTTTCTGACTCTAGGCCCTGGCTTTTAGACAGCATCTCTGGACCTGCTTGGGACCCAGGGGAACTGGCTGCCCTGAAGGGAAGGACACAAGCCTGGATGGCTTCACCCCTTCTGACTGTAGAGCCCTAGAGGCTTGAGCAAACATAGGTAGTAGCCAGGTAGTAGTCACAGTGGGCCTTGTGCAAGACCTAGGGCTGTGTTGCTTTCAGGTATGGCCCAGTGCAGTCCCAGTCATGGTGGCCACAGGGGTCCATGTGTCACCCCTTTCCCAGCTACATGCAGCTCAGCACAGAGAAAGAGACTCCACTTGTTTGGGAGAAAGTAAGAGAAGAGAACAAGAGTCTCTGCTTGGTAATTCAGAAAATTCTTCCAGATCTTATCCAAGGTCACCAAGGTAGTACCTCTATGAGTCTGCAAGAACCACAGATGCAGTGGCCAAAAACTTAGATCACAACACCCAAGTCCTTTCAAATACTTGGAAAGCCTTCCCAAAAAGGATGAGTACAAACAAACCCAGTCTGTGAAGACTACAAGAAATACTGAACTCTTCAATGCTCAGACACTGACAAACATCCACAAACATCAAAACCATCCAGGAAAACATCCCCTCACCAAATAAACTGAATAATACACTGGAGACCAATCCTGGAGAGATAGAGACATGTGACGTTTAGACAGATAATTCAAAATAGCTCTTTGAGGAAACTCAAAGAAATTCAAGGTCACACAAAAGGAATTCATAATCCTATCAGATAAATCTAACAAAGAGATTGAAATCATTTAAAAGAATCAGGCAGAAATACTGGAGTTGAAAAATATAATTGACACACTGAAGAATGCATCAGAGTCTCTTAATAGCAGAACTGATCAAGCAGAAAAAAAGATTTACTGACCTTGACAACAAGCTGTTTGAAAAACACAGTCACAGAAGACAGAAGAAAAAAGAATAGAAATGAATAAAGCACACCTACAAGATATACACAATAGCCTCAACAGGACAAATTTAAGAGTTATTGGCCTTAAAGAGGAGGTAGAGAGAGAGAGGAGTAGAAAATTTAGTCAAAGGAATAATAACAGAGAACTTCCCAAACCTAGAGAAAGATATTAATATTCAAGTACAAAAATATTTAACCCAAAGAAGATTACCTCAAGGCATTTAATAATCAAATTCCCAAAGGTCAAGGATAAAGAAAGGACCCAAAAGCAACAAAAGAAAATAAACAAATAACATACAATGGAGCTCCAAAATGTCTGGTAGCAGACTCCTCAGGAGAAATCTTATAGGCCAGGAGAGAGTGGCATGACATATTTAAAGGGCTGAAGGAAAAAAAATATTTTATCCTAGAATAGTATATCCAGCAAAAATATCCTTCATGTATGAAGGAGATACAAAGACTTTCCTAGAAAAACAAAAGCCACGCGATTTCACCAATACCAGACCTGTCCTACAATAAATGCTAAAGGGAGTTTATCAGTCTTCAAGAAAAGGATGTTAATGAGCAACAATAAGTCACCTGAAGGCATGAAACTCACTAGTAATAGTAACTACACAGAAAAACACAGAATATTATAATGCTGTAATTGTGATATGTAAAGTACTCATATCTTAAATAGAAAGAAGAAAAGATGAACCAATTAAAAATAATAATTACAATAACTTTTAAAGATATACACAGTATAATAAGATATAAATGGAAACAACAAAACATTAAAAAGTGGGGAAATGAAGTGAAGTGTAGAGTTTTTATTAGTTTTCTTTTTGCTTGTTACTTTGTTTGCTTATGCAATCAGTGCTATCATTGGTTTAAAATAATGGGTTATGGCTGGGTGCGGTGGCTCACGCCTGTGATCTCAGCACTTTGGGAGGCCGAGGCAGGTGGATCACCTTAGGTCAGGAGTTCGAGACCATCCTGGCCAACATAATGAAACCCCGTCTCTATTAAAAATACAAAAATTAAGCCCGGGTGAAGTGGTTCCTGCCTGTAATCCCAGCACTTTGGGAGGCTGAGGCAGGTGGATCATGAGGTCAGGAGTCCAAGACCAGCCTGGCCAATATGGTGAAACCCTGTCCCTACTAAAACTACAAAAATTAGCCAGATGCGGTGACAGGTGCCTATAATCCCAGCTACTCTGGAGGCTGAGGCAGGAGAATCACTTGAACCTGGGCAACAGAGGTTGCGCTACTGCACTCCATCCTGGGCAACAGAGTGAAACTTTGTCTCAAACAAACAAACAAACAAACAAAAAAACAACAAAAATTAGCTGGCTGTGGTGGCAGGCACCTGTAATCCCAGCTACTCGGGAGGCTGAGGCAGGAGAATCGCTTGAATCCAGGAAGCAGAGGTTGCAGTGAGCCAAGATCGCTCCATTGTACTCCAGCCTGTGGGAGAAGAGCAAGACTTTGTCTCAAAAAAAAAAAAAAAAGAAAGAAAAAAAAAAAAAAAAAAAGGATTATAAGATAGTATTTGCAAGCCACATGATAGCCTCAAATATAAAAATATACAACAGATGCAAAAAAAAAAATAAAAATAAATTAAGACATACCACCACAGAAAATAACATTCACTAATAGGAAGTCAGGAAGGAAGAGACTACAAAACAATTAGAAAACAAATAACAAAACGACAGAAGAAAGTCCTTACTTATCAGTATTAACAATGAATGTAAACGGAGTAAACGTTCCAATTAAAAGACATAGGGTGGCTGAATAAATTTAAAAAAATATATCCAATGATCTGTTGCCCACAAGAAATACATTTTGTCTGTAATGACACACACAGACTGAAAACAAAGTGATGAGAAAAGATAATCCATGCAAAGGGAAACCAAAAAAGGGCAGGAGTAGCTATACTTATATCAGACAAAATAGATTTCAAGACAGAATCTATAAGAAGATACAAGGAAAGTCATTATAGAATGATAAAGGGGTCAATTCAGCAAAAGGATATCACAATTGTAAATATATGTGCACTCAACACTGGAGCACCCAGATGTATGAAGCAAATATTATGAGAGCTAAAGAAAGAGATAGACCCCAATACAATATTAGCTGGAGACTTCAACACCCCACTTTCAGGATTGGACAGATCTTCCAAACAAAAGATAATGAAGAAATGTTGGACTTAATCTGCCCTATAGAACAAAGGGACCTAATAGATATTTACAGAACATTTCATCCAACAGCTGCAAAATACACATTCTTTTCTTCATCACATGGATTGTTCTCAAGAATAGGCCATAGTTATATTACAAAACAAATCTTAAAACATTCGGGAAAACAAATAACATCAATCATCTTCTCTGACCACAAACAACTCACCATTCACCCCGCCCCTCCCATCCCAATCAGTACTTCTGGTCCTGCACTCTTGAAGCCCAAACACTGGGCTCGCCTTTCACATCTTCCTCAAGCTCAGGCCAGGGTGTTTCTTTCCTTTTCTCACCTGCAATTACCTGTTGGGCACACTCTTCTCCCTCATTTTCTGTCTAGCAAACATCCCCTTATTGTTCATGAGGCAGCTGTTATTACCTCCCCTTTCAAGTCTCTGCTTAAGTCCTACCCACAGCCCAGATAGAACTATTTCTCCTTTCTGCCCCTACATTGTACAGGCTAAAAACTTCTTCCTTCTCCCTTCGCCTTCCCTTCCCCTTCCCTTCCCCTTCCCTTCCCCTTCCCTTCCCTTCTTCCCTTCCTTCTTTTCTTCCTTTCTTTCTTCTTTCTTTCTCTTTCTGCAGAGCTAGCTGAGGTTTTATTTTGGACCCCCTCCACTCCCCCCCACAAAAGCAACTGAATTGTTTTGTAGCTGGAGGCACGGGCAAGGGGGATCCCCAGGCAGTAAACTCCCCTGGGGGTGGGCTGAGGGCTAGGGCTGAGCCTCAGGTGGGTGGGTCTCCCATTCTCTGTGCTCCTCTGCACAGCGGTCGCCCTCGCGTGCTCCAGGGCAGCCGCAGGAGGGGCAGGCTGGGAGGGGCTGCCGCCTCAGCTGTTCACTTGGGCAGGACGTCAGAGGACTCGGACACTAGCTTCCCATCGCCGGTGTCGATCTTCTTCACAATCATGGCCCTGATGGAGCTGGTGTGGCTGAAGGCGCTGGAGCCCAGGCCTTAGCTGAGGCCGGGGCTTGTGAGGCCGCCATAGGTCGAGCTCAGACCACCTGCATAGCCGCTGGTGGTCTTCGTATGGATACGCATGTTGTGAATCCCAGACGCCAGCCGGCTCTCATCGCCCTCCAGCAGCTTCCTGTAGGTGGCGATCTCGATGTTCAGGGCCAGCTTGACGTTCATCAGCTCCTGGTACTCACGCAGCTGCCGTGCCATGTCCTGCTTGGTCCGCTGCAGGGCGGCCTCCAGCTCAGACAGCTTGGCCTTGGCATCCTTAAGGGCCAGCTCCCCAGGATGCTCGGCATCTGTGATGGCAGCCTCCAGGGAAGCCCGCTGGCCTTCCAGGCCCTCAGTCTCAGCCTGAAGCCAGCTTATGTTCCAGTTCATCTGGGAGATCTCAGTCTTCGTTCACTGCAGGTCATCCCCCTGCTTCCCAGCCAGCGTCTGGAGCTCCTCATACTTGATCTGGTACATGCTCTCAGCCTCAGCCCAGCTGCGGTTGCCGATCTCCTCGTACTGCGCCTTGACCTCAGCGATGACGCTGTCCATGACCAGGGAGCGGCTGTTGTCCGTGGACAGCACCACAGACGTGTCTGAGATCTGGGACTGCAGCTCCCGGATCTCCTCTTCATACAGCTGCCTGAGAAAGTTGATCTCCTCAGTCAGCCCTTGCAGGTGAGACTCCAGCTCTACCCTGTGCATGTAAGCTTCATCCACATCCTTCTTGATGAGGACAAATTCATTCTCCATCTTTGTACGCTTATTGATCTCATCCTCATACTTGTTCGTGAAGTCCTCCAGCGGCCCCTGCATGTTGCCATGCTCCGCCTCCAGCTTCATCTTCTCCTGGCCCAGCCTCCAGCTGCCACCTAAAGTTGTTGATGTAGCTCTCGAACATGTTGTCCATGTTGCTCCCAGCCTTCTTCTGCTGCCGCAGGAGGCTCCACTTGGTCTCCAGTATCTTTTTCTCCCTACCTTGTCTATGAAGGACGCAAACTTGTTGAGGGTCTTGACCTGGTCCTTCTCCTGGGTGCCGACTCCTGGATGTTGGAGTCCCTCTCCAGGTAAGGGGGCTCAGCAGGCTCTGCTTGACCATGACAGTGGTGATGCCTTCCATGCCACTGGCGCCACTATGGCCTCTGCCCAGGCCGCCCTGGAAGCCGCTGCTGCCCACTTGGGAGAGGCTCCAGGAGCTGATGCGGGCACTGGGCCCACAAGGTGGACACCTTGTAGGACCTCTGGGTCATCCTGATGGACACGGTGGAGGCAGGAGTGGAGGCAGGTGGGCTGAACCAGGCAGAGATTCCAGAAGGAGAGGAGAAGCTGCTTCTTGGTATTTACTTATTTATATTTTAAATTCAGGGGTACATGTGCAGGTTTGTTATATAGGTAAACCTGTGCCGCGGGGGTGTGTTGCATACATTGTTTCATCACTCAGGTATTAAGCCTAGACTCTCATTATTTTTCCTGATCCTCTCCCTCCTCCCAGCCTTCACCCTCAGATCCCAGTGTCTGTTGTTCCCTCTATATGTCCATGCGTTCTCATCATTTAGCTTCCACTTATAAGTGAGAACATGTGTTATTTGGTTTTCTGGTCCTGTGTTAGTTTGCAAAGGATAATAGCCTCCAGCCCCATCCAGGTTCCTGCAAAGGGCATGACCTTGTTCCTTGTTATGGCTGCATGTATTCCATGGTGTATCTGTACCACATTTTCCTTATGCAGCCTACTATTGGTGGGCATTTAGGTTAATTCCATGTCTTTACCATTGTGAATAGTGCTGGAGTGAACATATGTGTGCATGTGTCTTTATGATAGAATGATTTATATTTCTTTGGATATATACCCTGTAATGGGATGGCTGGATCAAATGGTAGTTCTGTTTTAAGCTCTTTGAGGAATCACCACATTGCTTTCTACAGTGGTTGAACTAATTTACACTCCCACCAACAGTGTATAAGCATTCTTTTTCTCTGCAACCTTGACAGCATCTGTTTTATTTTTTGACTTTTTAATAAGAGTCATTCTGACTGGGGTGACATGAAATCTCATTGTGATTTTGATTTGTATTTCTCTAATGATCAGTGATGTTGAGTTTTTTTTCATGTGCTTACTGGGCGCATATATGTCTTCTTCTGAAAACTGTTCATGTCCTTTGCCCACTTT